AGCCTAAATAGGAGAGAAGAATGATCTCCCTAATGGACGTGTTTTAAAACATAGAAGAGAAGCCCATAAGGGAAGGCCCAAAAGCCCAAATAGGAGATGAGAATGATTTCTCTAGCCCAAAAAAGAGAAGAATAATTTCTCCAGTAAACGTATTTAAAATCTTAAGGAGAAACTCAAGAGAGAAAACTCAAAAAAAGAATCATATCTATTGGTGTGTGCCAGGGCTTGCACAGTTACAATATGCAATCCAACATTTATTTGAGCTTGATTCATAAATAAATTAAAAGAAACTAAAATTAAAAACATATTATTTAAAATATATTTATTAATGAATAAAAATTAAATTAGTTAAAATTGTTTTAATAATTCAACTTAATAAAAATAAATCAACCAAACAACAATTAATTACACATAATTAAATCTTCAAAGTCGTTGGGAAAAAAGAGAAGGATGCATGCACTGAAAAGGGCACATTTGGAATTCTAAAATGAGGTCAAGGCACCGCGTGGCCCATTTCCCTCTTTTTCGTGAATCTTCAATTTCTGCGCTCTTTCCTTCTTTAGCCCTACTTCCAAATTTGCCGTTTCTCTTTGACTAAACTACCATCTTACCCCTGGATATAATCTGGGATAACTATAAAAAATAATTACTTTCAAAAGTATATATTTTAAAATAAAGTAAAATTTTCTTATAAACAAATGAGACATCTTATTATTTCATGAGTGTATTTTTAGAATAAATATGTTTTTATAAGCTATTGAATTCTTATTTTTACATAACAATATTAGACAATATATTATTTTAAACCACTTTTTCTTTATTTAGAATAATTGTTACAAATGCGGGGCCCACTACGAGATAAGCTTGCTTAGCAGCGAAGCGAACACCAAACCACGGCTTCAGACAGTCGGACTTTTTCACCGCACCCGTCCAGTTAATCGCTCCCCCACTTTTTACCCGAACCGGAATACTCCATGCCAAATTGCCAACGAGGGGAATACCGTCATTTCCACTAACCAAACGACACGTGTCATTAGTAGCGGTCGTGTAATTAAGTAACAAAACCACGTGCGGTTTCCGAACCAGCAATGGTCCAGTAGCTTCGTGTTTCCTATAAATATCCGAAGCAACGGCTTGACGAGAAGCAACGCATTAAGCTACCTGTTTCTAGCTCCTCAATTCACCGTTCAACTGATTTTTCCGGCACCGGCGATGGCACCTCGCTATGAAGTGGAATTAAAAATACAGTCCGCTAGAGATCTCAAGAACGTCAACTGGCGCAACGGTGCCCTGAAGCCGTACGCCGTCGTTTGGATTGATCCAAATAGCAAATTTTCGACGAAGGTCGACGCCGGAGGTGACACGTCACCTTACTGGAACGAAACGCTTGACATTTCTTTCTCGTCGCCGATCGAAGATGCTACGTTGAACATCAACATCGTTCATGTCGCCAACGGCGAGAATGATGTCAAACCGCTGATCGGCTCCGCCAGACTCCGTCTCTCCGACGTCGTCGACAGTGTCGGCCTCGGCGAACGCACTGAACGAACTCTCCAATTGAAACGGCCCTCCGGCAGGCCTCAAGGGAAGGTCGAAGTTAAAGTAACAGTCCGAGAATCGCGTTACCGATCATCCGATTCCTATTACGCGCCGCCGTATGGGGTCCCACCGCCTTCCTATGCCACTTCGTACTCTGCTCCTCGCGATCCATACTATGCAACGGCTCCTCCGTCGGGATACTCTTCCGTCGGGTTCAATGCACCGGCCCCAGACCCGGTCCCGGCACCAGCTGCCGCTCCGTACGGTCAGGCGAGTTACGGGCAGCCGGCGTATAGCAGACAGGCGAGTTACGGGCAGTCGGCGTATAACAGTCAGGCGAGTTACGGGCAGGCGGCATACGAGCAGCCGGCGGAAAAGAAGAACAAGTTCGGGATGGGGACTGGATTGGCTGTGGGTGCGGTGGCGGGAGTTTTGGGTGGATTGGTGTTGGGAGAGGGCATCGACCATATGGAGAACAAGATTGCTGACAAAGCGGCAGATAAGGCGGAGGAGAATGACTATGATGACTACTAAGCTGTTCAAATACCCAAATTTGAAAGAGTGTATCGATCCAATCAGCTCCGTATCGTTTGAATTCGCTTATAAACTTGTTTCCTTTGTTTGATTGTTCTTGATTCAAATAAATATTATGCAGAAGTTCATCCCGTGGTTAACACAAACAATAGTAAAAACATAGTTTAAAAGGTTTGTCATTACCATAGTATGAGCCGTAGCTTTTTTAAGGTTAAAATCGAACATGGTGAAGCTCAAGTCAGCCCAAGTTCTCTTTCGACATGTTTTGAGATAAATATGTACTTTTTCTTAATTTTTAAGATTGGAGACATGCAATGTTGTCTATCGAGCAGGGAGAGGACGGGAAGCTTTCTCCGTCCCTTTCTTATCCTTATTCTCACCACCTATTTTCTTCGTCTCACCAAAATTCTCTATTTTTTTTTTCTAATTCTTTTTCGAACTAATTATTTTTGAAGTTTTCATAGTTTAATATTATATTTATTTAAAATGGGAAAAAACTCCTAACAAATTTACCCATTTTCATAGTCAAACATAGATATAAAACTTTACCCATTTTCATAAATTTAAAATTTAATATTATAATATAATTTTCAACCGTAAAAAAAATCTATAACCTAAGCTTTAGTTTAAATATTAATGTCTTAAAAATAATCATTTTTATTTAATATAATAAAAAAAATTATGGATGAAAAATATATTTATATTAAACTAAGTGGATAGTTGGGGGAAGATAATCCCATCTCCTGTCATTTATTTAATGAAAAAAGATATTTTCTACTCCTTTCCGCTATCTGTCTAAACCGAGAATTTCGTACGTGACATCATATATATATATATTATTGGATTACTCGAAATTTAGTAATGTGAATATTTAGGCGGGAGAAAGAAGAGAGATTTGCAAGCTTAGTAAGTTAGCAGGACATTATGGCGCTCATTGTGCTGCTCAATGAGCGTAGTGGGCGCTTCTGAAAAGGATCCTTCTCTCTGCCCATAAATTTTTGGAATCAAACGAACCAGTTCAAAGATTGAAGGTAAAATTATTCCAAGCTCTCTCAGAATCTTGCCCTTTTCTTTCAGTTGCAATTGATTTTCATGGATCTTGAGAAAAATAGCTTGATTAGAATCTTCATTTGAGTTTTTTGTTCGTATCGCTTCTGATCCAACATTTCGAATTTCCAGGTGAAATCTGCAGATTTTGCTTCGTTTCTTGGATTTTGCTCTTGCGTTTCCAGCTGTTGCGGCAAGCCCTTCTTCTTCCTTCTCGTCGTTTACATTTCCTGCCCTAACGATGCGAGTAGCACAAGACGACCACAAGGTGTTTGTAAATTGTCCCACTGAAATTTTGATTGAGATTCTTTCATATTTACCTGTGAAATCGCTTCTGCGATTCAGATCTGTATGCAAAGAATGGAACAAATTAGTTCAGAAACCATTGTTTGTTAATGCTCATTTGAAAAACAGAATCTCAAATTCTCTGCTCATAATCAATTGCTCCAACACAGACCAAAAATCATGTTTCTCACTTGTCAATGCTGAAACATTCAATGAAACTCTTCGATCCGAGCTTCCCATGAAGGCCAATACAGGCTATAAACTCTCTGTTATTGGATCACATAACGGGTTAGTCTGTATTTCATCTGCAAGTCTGTTGGATGTAGATCCAATTCATATATGGAACCCATCTGTTAGAAAATCTAGGTTGCTTCCCAGTGGCTTGATTCCCAAACGGGACCATTGTTGGCCTCTAAACTACCTTGCATTTGGCTTCAATCAAGCAGTGAATGATCACATAGTGTTGAGAATTGTGAGGATTGAGCAGTGGAGATGCTGTTATCAAGTAGAAATTTACAGTCTCAAATCTGACTGTTGGAGGAGAGTTCCTTCTGTTCCTCCTATTCCCACTGCACTTGACTGCAGATTGTTGCCCAAATCCATCTGCTTCAGTGGACATGTCTATTGGCTTGTGAAGCACAAAAATGGTGGAATTCCCAATTCTGTTCTGTGTTTTGACATGGCCACTGAGGAGTTTCATAGGCTAATGTTGCCTGACTGTTTGGTGTACACAGATACTCCATCACCATTATTATGCTTGGGAGTGATCAAGGAATCTCTATCTGTTTTTCATTGTAGGCCTGATGGTGGGAAGCAACTGTGCGACATATGGGCTTTGAAAATGGGCTCTTGGGTGAGATTAAACACTGTTTTTCTGCCACAACATGGGCAAATAACAAGATCATTGAGCCTCTTTGATCATAAATTTCTCCTTGTAAGGCAGATTGAAGGGCTGGAAAACTATAGACTGGCACTGTTTGATCCTGAACTGGATCGCATTGAGGATATTGGAATTGAATTGGGTTCTCATTGGGTTTATGCAGATTCTTATACGGAGAGTCTTCTTCTACTCTGACTAGGTATTCGGTAGCAATTCAATTTGTAGTCATTACTGAAAAAACATATACATTTTTTGAAGGATCATGTAATGGATATGTATGGTTCAATACAATGAGTATCTTATTGTGTAATTCATATGCCTTGTTGTTCTGCCATTGAGGAATCTCTTAAAAATATTGTAGCATGTTTCTCTCTTCACCCTGCATTACTGTGAGATAAGGTATGGGAGAAGGCAAATGAGATCTATAGATTCTTTTTTGATATTTGATGAGAGGCCATCTGTCTCATCACTTATATTCTAAGATAAAGAACTCTGGTTCGAATTATGAACTTGGTTCACGAATGAATCAGACTTTTGATGGACCCACCTTTTTTAGCCCTGATTTATCTTAAAAGGAAAATGAGCTTTGCTTCTCTAGGCTACCGATGCTCCCTTGTGGAACCGTTTGTTTAGTATATGTTTATGGAACCGTTTGTTTAGTATATGTTTAGGAGTATTTTTGTACAACTTACAATGGGATACTCAACTTGGAAGGTCTACAGAGGCCATTGATGGCTGTTCAGGTAAAAATGAAGTTACTTCCATGCAGCTTCTAAAATGTTCTCTCTTAATTTTTGCTAGCTATGTATATTTTTCTTTATTAATGAAATGAATTTTCAATATTTATTATTGTGGCCACAAAGTCGATGATCCCCAGCCCAAAATGGCTTTAAAAGAAAGTGGGCCAGGGCCCACTTGTTAAACGGTCCATACCCAGAGCAAAATAGTTGTAATTGGGCCACGGCCCATTAACACGTCCAGCTAACCAAGCTTAAAGACGGAGTCGCGATGGGTTGCGCGTTCAATCACGCGCTACTTAATGGAAATGCCACGTGGCATTTCATGAGTTCATGGGCTGAGATCTGCCGTGGGGCCCACGACATATCCGTCCCGCCATTTCTCGAGCGTACCAAAGCGCGCGACACGTGGGTGAAACTCGACATAACCATTCCACCGGAACCCGCCGCCGCCAACGGCGACTCGAAGGCGGTGGCGCTACCACCGCTTAGGGAGAAGGTCTTCAAATTCACAGAAGCCGCCATTGACAAGATCAAGTCGAAAGTGAACTCAACAAACCCTATATCGGACGGCTCAAATCCGTTCTCCACTTTCCAATCGCTCTCCGTCCATATATGGCGCCAGAGAACATCATCGTGTTCACCGTTTTCGCCGACTGCCGCAAACGCGCCCATCCGCCAATGCCTGAGAGCTACTTCGGAAACCTAATCCAAGCCATATTCACCGGCACCGCCGCCGGGCTACTACTAATGAATCCGCTGGAATTCGGCGTCAGCATGATCTTAAAGGCGATCGTTTCACACGATGCGGCGGCGATCGATCAAATAAACAAAGAATGGGAGAGCACGCCGAAGATCTTCCAGTTCAAGGACGCGGGAATGAACTGCGTGGCGGAGGGGAGTTCGCCGAGATTTAAAGTGTACGAGGTGGATTTCAGATGGGGAAAACCGGAGAGCGTGGGAAGTGGATGTAACAACAGATTCGAGGGAATGATGTATCTGTACCAAGGGAAGGGCGGAGGGAGGAGCATTGATGTGGAGAAGAAGCTATGGCGTGGATGGAGAAGGACAAGGAACTATTATTCTTCAGTTCATTGTCATCTCATTGATGTTTTGTTCTTTGTTTGTATGGGTGCAGCTGTCAATTATGTTGCTATATCTGATGCTCTTGGTGTTTCTTCATCAGTATTAGCAGCTGGACTTGCTGCGGATAATGCAATTTGTGCAGCGTATTTTGCAACATTGTTTGCGTTAGCATCTCAAGTACCTCCTCAACCAACGACCTTTAACGATGCTACGGGTATGAAATTCCACTTGTTTTGGCTTGTATAATCTCTAGTTGTTCACTATTTTTCTGAGGCATGATTTTCAATAATCCATTGGGAAGACTAATTTTCTTTCAAGCAAGCTATCAAAATTTTCCAAATGTTAAAAATTATAAAACTAATTATACATTAGTTTTGTTATTGTACTATCAACAAACTCAAACCTTCATTGGTTGTTCTACCACCACAAGTTAGATAATAAATATATGATAGTCAACCTTTTTTAATAGATCTACTCATTGGAATATATTATATTAATTCATTGAGAATAACTCGAACTTAAGCCATGAAGAAATTAAGTTGATTTTAGAATTTCAAGGTTAATTTGAGTTGGTTCGTAGCTAACTTAGCGTTTGATATTGAAGAATATATTCCGTTATCAATTTGTTAAAAATCATACCCCTGTCTCGAAATCAGAACCCTAATAATCAAAATGTTGAAGAGTTTGTCTAGAGTGTTTTTGAAACTTGGAATGGGATAGATGTGTTGGGAGTGCAGAGTTGAGGAGTCTGGAAATCATGAACTTGTATTTGAGATGTTGCGTTGGGAAGGCTGGGAATCAAAAACCTGTATTTAGGGTGATGTCTCGAGTTTCAATGTTTTGAACCTCGGGGGTTGACAGTTTTTGAACGAAACATTTAATTTATGTTATAGACTAAGAATAACAAAATGTTTCCAACAATCAAAACGTTGCTTACAGTTAATAAAAAGGAAAACATAACATGAAGATATAAAGTTTGAAAGTAAGATGCAAAAACACATAGGAACGTAGAAAATAATAATAACATATGGTTCCAGATGATATAAAGAAAAAACAAAAAACGTTTTGACTTATGAACCAAATAAATGAAATGATAAATGGAAGGGTGGGTTGAAGTAGATATCAATAATGTTTTGACTTTCCAATTGCACCATTTTATTATAAACATCATCACTATTTCAAAATCAAAACCTTACTCATTTGAGAGTAGATAAGCATGTTTCATGTCATTTCTTTCTTCACATTCTTGTAGAGCTTTTACTTCTAAAACCAATTTGATTTTTTTTAATTTTTCATAAATTGTTCAACTCCATGTATGACATCTTTTTTAGTTTGTTTTAATTATATTGAAGTTGATATTGTTTGAAATATTTATCAAAACTTGAGATATGTAAAAATTCATAACAAAAACTTGAAACAAACTATATAAATTATGAAGGATTTTGGACTTTTTCTCTTGTTCGTCACTCTCAAAATAAAAAAAGTTAGGCCGCCATCCGTGACGACATTCAGCATATGCAGCAACCTTATAAATTCTTCAACTTTGTGCATATAAATAGAGCATCAAATTTGGATATATCCCACAACTTGTAGCAAATGGCAAAGGAAATGGCAATGGCTAGAGCTCTGAAGAGGATTTTCTTGTTAACTTTTGTGCTATGTCTGTGGTTTTGGACTATGTTGCACACAAAGCTTTACAAGAACACTTGGACCCCAAAGCTCAAGATGGAACTGAACTCCACATATTTTAGAGAACAAGGTACGGTTCCAATTTAATTGCCTCAAGTTTCCAAATATATTGATGATTTTGGGTCTGTTTTGTTTTGCATTTAACTTGGATCCAATGTTTTTACATTTTGCAGGCACAAATCTTCTACTTTTCTCATTTCCCATCATGTTCATGTCAGTTTTGGGTTGTTTTTATCTCTATTTGCAGAAGAATTCTTCAGAAGATTCTAAACCCTTTTCTACCCAAAGGTTCTTCGCCACTAATCATAGCCATTAAATAAATTTTCTTTCTTTCTCTAATTCTTAACTTTTGAATGCTTTCTGAACTGGGTCTTGCTGTAGGAGCCGAGGAGATTCATTTCTGAAACGACCAATTCTGGCAATGAATCCTCTGGGGATTGTTAATACATTGGAGATCGGGTTCGCAGCTGCATTTGTTATACTTTTGATTTGGTCTCTTGGAAATTACTTGTACGTCAGTTTTGGCAATCTTCACATGCATGGAGCTGGCGAGAAAATGTATGTTTTCACTTTTCCCTCAAAATTAACCACTTTCAGTCTCCATTTATATACTAGAAATCGAAATGATCTGAAATTAGAATAAGAATCGATCGAGTGGAATTAGATTTATATGTTCTTTGAGTGAGTGGAATTAGATTTATATGTTCTTTGAGTGAGTGGAATTAGATTTATATGTTCTTTGAGTGAGTGGAATTAAATTTATATGTTCTTTGAGTTTCGATACGACTAAAAGCACTTGACACTCAAGCTGAAAAATCAATACGACTCTGGATTTATGGTTCAATCGAAAATGCTTTGTTTTTTGAGTTTATGCGTCTCTGTTAAAATGAATAGTTTTCGAGGTTATAAATGTGAAAAGTCATGGTTCAGACCCAACCAACAAAATTGTAGGTAATTATTGTTCAAAGATTTGAGATTGCTAAGTTTTTTGGTTCAGTTGGGAAGCCAAGTTTAGAAGTGTATCACTGAGACTTGGGTACATTGGACATATATGCTGGGCATTTCTTTTCTTTCCAGTCACAAGAGGGTCTTCATTATTGCCTCTAATTGGACTCGCATCTGAATCAACCATCAAATATCACATCTGGCTTGGCCACATTTCTAATCTTCTCTTTGCTTTAACACCGTTGGATTCATCATCTACTGGGGGATCACAGATCAAATGGCTTTGGTAAATGCTTTTATCTTCTACTCTTTTATTCTCTTTGTTCTGTTCATCAGTTTGATTTTGTGATAGTTTGAGGGGAAAGAAAATGAATGGTGTTCATCTCTTGTCTGCTGAGTTTTTGTCTTTGCATCCCTTGTTTCATCAGTGCAAAGAATTATAGTTTCGCATTTTGATTTCTCATCTTTTCCTTGTCCTCTATATGATATGCATTTGAAGATGATTGGTCCTTCGAAATTTGTATTAATGATAAGGAGTAACTTTAATTGTGCTTTGTTCTTAGCTACAGCAACAAAACTCTCAATTCCAAATTAAGATCCAAGTTAATTTCTATTGGTACATTGCTTCCATGTGTTGTTCTAAATCATTACTAACTGAATGTGCATCATTGAGCAGTTGAAAGAATGGAGTGAAGTCTATGTATCAAATGTTGCTGGACTGATTGCTATGACATTTGCCACTGTTATCTGGGTGACAAGTTTTCGTTCGATTCGTCAAAAAAAGTTCAAAGTTTTCTTTTACAGTCACCATTTGTACACTCCCTACACTGTCTTTTATCTAATCCACGTGGGAGCTGCATATGTATGCATGATTCTTCCTGGAATGTTTCTCTTTGCAATTGATCGATTCTTACGATTCTTACAATCGCAACGGCATGTAAGCGTGGTTTCTGCTCGCCATCTTCCTTGTGGTGTCGTTGAACTAAACCTCTTGAAAATCCAGGTTTAGTTTCTAGAGAGCTGATCAATGAAACTCTTCTTATTCTTTCTCTTCTGCTAAATATTTGATTGGACTTTACCCTTTTCTGATCAGAACTAAGCTACAGTCCAACAAGTGTGATGTTCCTAAATGTGCCAAGCATTTCCAAACTGCAGTGGCATCCCTTCACGATCACTTCTAACAGCAAATTGGAGCCTGATATAGTGAGTGTTGTTAGCAAAGTAGGGGGAAGCTGGACTTCCAAACTTCACCAGCAACTTTCTTCTTCTCTGGATCACCTTCAAGTTTTTGTTGAAGGTCCATATGGGCCTGCTTCCACTCACTTTTTAAGGTGATTCCCTTCCCTACAAGCCATAATATCCTTGAATTAGTGGAGTTTACTTAGATTTGATTGATCTTTTATCATTTGAAGGCATGAATCTCTGCTGCTGATAAGTGGAGGAAGCGGAATTACTCCCTTCATTTCGATAATCAGAGAGATAATGATTGTTCGAAGCACAAAACCGGACTGTCATGTTCCGCAAGTGCGCCTCATCTGCGCCTTCAAGAACTCCATGGATCTCACCATGCTGGATCTCTTGCTTCCAGTATCTAGCACACAAACAGAAATTTCAAATGTACCATTACAGATTGAAGCTTATATCACCAGAGAGGAAGAACCGCCTCAAACAAATGAGGAAAATCTTGTAAACACAATATGGTTTAAGCCAAACCCACGGGACTCACCAGTGTCAAGAGGCTCTTGGACCAAACCATTGGCTGCTCCTTGGCGCAGTCATCTCATCTTCGTTCATGATGTTCTTGATTCTCTTAGGCATCATCACTCGCTACTACATATACCCAATTGAACGAAATGGTGATGCGGTTTACAATTACACCTACAAGGTTCTTTGGGACATGTTCCTTGCACTTGCTTGTATTTGCGTATCTTCTAGCTTGGTCCTTATGTGGCAAAGGAAAACATATGTTTCAAACAAACGAGTCCAAGTTCTCAGTGTTCAATCACCAAAAGCATCACCTGGGTCATGGATCTATGGAGGTGAGAGAGAGCTTGAGAGCCTTCCCTACCAATCCCTTGTTCAAGCGACCAACATCCATTATGGGAGCAGGCCTGATCTCAAGAGTAAGTTTTCGTGGCTTTGTATAGACAAAAAGCGCACGCACATATATAAACCAGCAACCAACATCAATAATATATGGTAACATGTTTTTGTAATGCAGAAATTCTGCTGGACTGCAAAGGATCTGATATTGGAGTTTTGGTCAGCGGCCCAACCAGGCTGCGGCATGACGTAGCAAAAATCTGTTCAACTGCTTGTGGAGATAATCTAAAGTTTCACGCTCTGAGTTTCATCTGGTAAAAACTTGGAAGAACATTGCTGAATTTAAAGTTCAAATTTGTGTCAATACCGTATATGAACGTGTTGGATTGTGATGTAAAAAAGTTGATGTTCTTGTATTCTCGTCTTTTCTTGTGTTCATTCAAGTAAGCCAACGTATTCTGAATTAATTAATTTCTTCTTTAACTCTCAATGCATCTTTGTCGCTGCAAAAACGATGAACATTGAATATCTTTTGGTAGCTAACCAGACAACATAATTTTTTTTTTAAATGAGAATTGCCAAATAAATTTTTTTTAAAAAAATCTTAACTGTCTCTCACTTTCAATGTTATATAACTACTTTTGGGGCCGAAGGTACCAAAATGAGAAGCCTTATTTATTGCTTATATTAATGCCAACCTCTTTTTGGGCTTCACACATTAATGTTGGAAAAATACATGGGGGAGATGGTTATTTTTTTTTAATTATTATTTTCTAATATTATTTACAATAGCAATAATAATTGTTTTTATTATTTGATAAATAATTTGACCAACTTCAATAAAGAAAACACCAACACCCACTTCTCAATTAATGAGGAATTTAAGAAAAACACGTTATATTAATTGGGTGTTTCTCTATTTTTGAAATTATTGATTAACCCAATAGTACGTAAGAGGCATCTAATGTAACAACTTTGGTGTAGATTCGGATTAGGATTTAGAATCTAGATTTGGTATATGATGGTCCTAACGCTTTTTTGTATCCTCTGCGACATGATCATGTTACTTACTCTTCGCTTCTTAGAATAAAAACTATCCTCACAAACTAACACGACTCCTTCAAACATATTTTGTTCTCACTCACATGCATCTTATGAAAAATTTCAAGAGGTTACTTAATTTAGAATGGTTGCATGCAAAACATGTTTTGACTATAGAATTCTTATGATTGAGCTACCTAAAAAAAGTGCATATTGTGATATAGATAGTAAATTTCACTTCTTTTACGTCTTTATTAGTCATTAAGATGGTTCTAGTTCGGATACGGTTATTTTTCCATGTCTTATATACGTCAAATTAGGAAGAGTTTGTGGATTATGAAAGAGGTAACCATGGCATTGCATTTTTCCAAACCCTAAACCAATTAAAATCCAACCACTTGTTTGGTGAAATTTCTATTTCCATCTTTGCCCTTCAAATCCCCACCTCAATTAAGTCCACATCTCACACACCAGCAACTGCAAGGCAGCAAATGTGGCGTTTTAAGACAACAAAAGTCAATTATGAAAATTTTATTTTCTCTGAGGATTGGATTATTTCCTTCAAATTCAATATTTATTTCCTAAAAGAAATAAAATGATAAAAAGAAGAGAAAGGCCATATAATTTCTCAACCTCCATCTAAAGCCACACCCAGAGGAGTTCTCAACTTTCAATGTGTACATTAATATGTCACAACTGCACCCATGATCCTCATAAATGCACTGCCAACCATATTAATCACTTTGTTTTTGTTTTGTTTCCTTATAAAAACTAACATCTTTGGCCTTCTCTCCATACCCACACCTCTAATTTTTCTTTTTCATCCTCAACCCATTTCGCTGCCTCTGCTTTTTGTTCCATATCCATGGCGGGTGATCTCCCTGAAGTTGTGAAGAAAGAGGAGACAGGAGGGCTGAAGGTGAAAATCACAGGCAAAACCCATGTCAAACCCGCCAAGAAACTCGACAAAAAAGAGTTCCAATTGGTCACATTTGACCTCCCTTATCTTGCCTTCTACTACAACCAAAAGCTCCTCCTCTACGGCGACAATGGCGGCGAGGTTCGCTTCCCTGAGATGGTGGAGAAGCTCAAGGATGGCCTCGAGACGGTTCTCGAGCCGTTTCATCAGCTTGCTGGGAGGCTAGGCAAGGACAAGGATGGCGTTTTTAGAGTCGAGTATGACGATGATATGGAAGGTGTCGAAGTGGCTGAAGCTGTCGCCGACGATATCTGCATAGCCGATTTGGTGGCGGAGGAAGGCACCGCCACCCTCAAGGAGCTCATTCCTTACAATGGGATACTCAACTTGGAAGGTCTCCAGAGGCCATTGATGGCTGTTCAGGTCAGAATTAAATTACTTCCATGCAGCTACTAAAACGTTTTATTTATTTTATATTTTTTAAATAAGTGGGCCAGGGCCTACTTGTTCAACGATCGAAGCCCAGAGAAAAATAGTTGTAATTGGGCCATGGATCAGTCTCTAACGGCCCATTAACACCACATTCTGCTTTCGTCCAGCTAACCAAGCTTAAAGACGGAGTCGCGATGGGGTGCGCGTTCAATCACGCGGTACTTGATGGAACTGCCACGTGGCATTTCATGAGTTCATGGGCTGAGATCTGCCGTGGGGCCCAGGACATATCCGTCGCGCCATTTCTCGAGCGTACCAAAGCGCGCAACACGCGAGTGAAACTCGACATAACGCTTCCGCCGGAACCCGCCGCTGCCAACGGCGACTCGAAGGAAGCGGCGGCGGCGCCACCGCTAAGGGAGAAGGTCTTCAAATTTACAGAAGCAGCCATCGACAAGATCAAGTCAAAAGTGAACTCAACAAACCTTCCATCGGACGGTTCAAATCCATTCTCCACTTTCCAATCGCTCTCCGTCCATATATGGCGCCACGTCACCCAAGCCCGAAACCTAAAGCCAGAGGACATCACCGTGTTCACCGTTTTCGCCGACTGCCGCAAACGCGTCGATCCGCCAATGCCGGAGAGCTACTTCGGAAACCTAATCCAAGCCATATTCACCGGCACCGCCGCCGGGCTACTACTAATGAATCCGCCGGAATTCGGCGCCGGCGTGATTCAAAAGGCAATCGTTTCACACGATGCGGCGGCGATCGATCAAAGAAACAAAGAATGGGAGAGCGCGCCGAAGATCTTCCAGTTCAAGGACGCAGGAATGAACTGCGTGGCGGTGGGGAGTTCGCCGAGATTTAAAGTGTACGATGTGGATTTCGGATGGGGAAAACCGGAGAGCGTGAGAAGTGGATGTAACAACAGATTCGACGGAATGATGTATCTGTACCAAGGGAAGGACGGAGGGAGGAGCATTGATGTGGAGATAAGCTTGGAGGAAGAAGCTATGGCGAGGCTGGAGAAGGACAAGGAGTTTCTCATGGAGAATTAGGGTTTCGCAGTGGTTGAATAAGTGGAAGACAAAATTGCAGTGGATGAAAATGGTGGGATTTTTAATTTCTTGGGGAAATTGCCTTTATATTGTTATTATGCGACTTTTTTTTACTGTTGGCGGGGGGGATGAAATCAAACTAATATTCCTTGTCTTTTTCTTCTTTTCTTATTGTGCTCGTTTAACCTTGTAATATCTATGCATATTTTTAATTATGGCAAATTTGTTACAAAACTTTGGATTATATATATATATATACACATATATAGTCTTTCAAACGGCACGCCTTTCGAATTGGAGTGCTCCTGCCCCTCTCCTCTTTAGGGCTCAGGTTGCTGCATGGTTCTTTTCTCACGTTGAATCTGAATGGGTACCATCGAGTTTATACTACCATCGTGTTCATACGATTACTACAAGGATAAACCCAATTCGAAATATGAACGGAAAAAGAAAAGATCTATTGAATCGATCATGGGAATACCTGTCACAATACCTGTCAACCAAAAAGTAAGCCTTCAAGTAGCCTCGACCATTTACCCCATTTCATCATGACCAGATCAATAAGCGGGTTAAGTTCCAAGACACTAATAGAATCATTTCTCTCCTAGGAGCTTCAATCACTAACACATAATTTTCTAAATCGACCACCTAAAAGAAATACTCCTCCATCCAAAATCGATTCTAATAACTTTATTTTTCAGCTCCAGGACTTGAGGCAGTAGACTCCTCAACCTTACCTGCTTCAAGATTTTGGAGTTCGGGAGCCACCACGACAGGTGCTTCGACGCCTCCTGTTACAAGTTCATACATGTTAGAGTGATAGCGCATTTTTAAAACAAAGCTTATAAACACTGGTTCATCCAAAAAGCTACCAAATAGGACCAAAGTGATTTGGTTTTAGCAATCTTAAGGTACTCTTCAGTGGTGTATGCTTTGCTTGCTGATAAAGAATTATCAGCTGTTTATATACATAAGAAAACGATCTTTCATTATCGTATAATAGTCGAGGCTGACAGAATGATGATTCTATATCCCTAATGATTGAACCCAATCGTATCATTCGTAGACACGATGCCCGACGGCGAACCAAGGCTGATTACCAATATTCTTTTCCCCTTTGGCATTCTACTTTTTCTATGTAGCTTTGAAATCTTTCCCTAGAATACTACAAGTGCTGATAATAAATAAAAATATGGATGACAAATAAGTTAACCACTCACTTGGTTCAGCCACTGCAAAAGACTCTTCTGCTTTAGGAACAAAAGGTGGGTTTGAGAAGGTATCTGATTTGCTTGAATTGTATGAGCTTTCGACTGGACTCGAGATTTCGTCGAGACCAATTTCTTGCTCAAGTGTGGTCTTGAATTCTCGAGAAACGTCCTACAGACATACATGAAGAGCAAAAAACCACAAGAAGGTCTTTAAGAAGTGATGCTGGAAAATCTCAAAAACCGAAATATGATTACCTGAAGTTCTCTTATAGTGGGTTGAAATGTACGTAAGGTCTTCCCCAAAGTTCGAGCAACCTGGCATATAAATAAGTAAACTAAATTCCAGTCCAACGAAAGTACTTACTGATATCCTTTACAGCAAACCTGTCCAAATGGTTTTCAGGTTTTTGTAAAGACTTGGTAATCAATGTCACTTTGAGTTTTTTTTTTATACGACGCAAAGGGTCTTATTATATCCTAGATGCTCTCAATCAAAAACAAATTCCCTTTTGTTTGATGGGTGGGGTTAGGATAGTTCATGTGAGATCCCACGTCCGTTGGAGAGGGGAATGAAACATTCCTTATAAAGGTGTGGAAACCTCTCCCTATTAGACGCGTTTTAAAACTATGAAGCTGACTGTGATACGTAACGGACCAAAACGGATAATATCTGCTATCGGTGGGCTTGAATTGTTACAAATGGTATTAAAGTTAGACACCGAACAGTGTGCTAGTGAGGACGCTGGCCCCCAAGGGGGATGGATTGTGAGATCTTACGTTGGTTGGAGAAGGGAACGAAACATTCCTTATAAGGTGTGGAAATCTCTCCCTAGTAGACGCGTTTTAAAATCGTGAGGTTGACGAGGATACATAACGGGCCAAAGCGGACAATATCTATCGGCGGTGGGCTTAGGCTGTTACAAATGGTATTAGAGCTAGACACCAAGCGGTGTGCTAGTGAGGAAGCTAGACCCTAAGGAGGGTGGATTGTGAGATCCCACGTTGGTTGGAAAGGGGAACGAAACATTCCTTATAAGTTGTGGAAACCTATCCCTAGTAGACGCATTTTAACACCGTAAGGTTGACGGTGATACGTAATAGGCCAAAGTAGATAATATCAGTTAGCAGTAGGCTTGTGCGGTTACAAATGGATTAAAGCCAGACACCGAGCGATGTGCCAGCGAGGAGCCCCCAAGGAGGGTGGATCGTGAGATCCCATATTGATTGGAGATGAGAATGAAACATTTCTTATAAGGTGTGGAAATCTCTCCCTAGTATCGAAGGCTGAGCAATAACATTAGAAGCTATCCTTGTTGACATCAACAACAATACAACCTGGTGATTCTCCGCAGTGGCTCAAGACAATAAAGACTAGAGTATTAATGTAAGTGAAGTTTCATGCTGCTATTCCCAGCACAACTCCAAAGCCTAACAGATACCTTAAACGAGAATGAAATGTAATACTTCAATATTCAGGTTCCGCAACAAGTTAAAATGTGTAAAAGAACACATCAGAGGCAGCCAAATATTTCCAAAATTTCAGTCATCTACATGATTTATACCACTCACCTCAGCAAGGCCCTTGGGACCAAAAACCAACAGAGCCACAACCCCAATAACCAATGCCTCCGGAGCTCCAACCCCAAACAGAGATGCAAAAACAGCCTTCCCCTTAGGAATTCTCTTCCTCCTCTCTACAACAACACCATTTTAGACAACATAACAAGAACAAAGATCAATAAACGTTTAATTCAAACAAATATGAACTATTACTTGAATCAATCATCAAAAAGTATATCCATACCGGGAAACCTTCCTCTGCTTGAAATACCCAAATGCTTTAAACCATTCCATGGAGAGTAAAGCCGGAGATGCAGAGGGAAATTACACAAGGAGAGACGAATTTTGGGGGTTTTGGGGTATAAGATGGACGAGGAAGATGAAGATGAAGACGATGGGGAAAATGGGAATGTGGGAACTGGAAATTTGGAGGCCATGGTTATGGGAATTATTGGGCTAATATGGGGGCATTCTTGTCCAATTGTAGTTAAAAGATTTTACTAAATAATAAATTTTAGTCAAATTATTTTTGATGTAAGTGGGCCGGGTATTGGGCTAACATGGGGCCCAAGTTCACTCTTTCAGACATTATAATGGCAGAGAGGCCCAATCTAGGTATAAATTTTAATAATTCAATTTATAATTATTTGTTTTTTTTTTTGTCTCAAAACTTAGGGGTTCAAAGTCAAAATCAAGCATGTAAGATGTTAAATGTGATAAAACCATATAATATATATATATATATTAACACGTACATGAAAACCATAGTCTAAATTAAATGCTTCACATGGGCTGCCAATGTTGCCCCACCTTCCCAACTCCTATATTCAAGGTACGCATTATTTATTTATTTATTTATTTATTTATTTATTTATTTATTTATTTATACCCCTACTTTGCAACTATATTAATTATATAAATATTTTATTAATGCATATCATACATATACATGCCATATTTTTATTTATCTAAAAGGATTTTCGTCTAATTTTTCGAATTAAAGCTTAAAAATATTAGTGGAAAAAATGATTGAAGTGACTATTTAAATGGGGAAGAGGACAATTTAAAGGGAAACAAAAGAATGAGCCAAAAATAAATAAATAATTGTAGGCATAAAGGGAACACTCTAAACCAAACCTCCATAAGTACCTAAAAAATGGAGTCTCCTACATGCATTTCTACCTTTTTCCTTTTATTATTATTATCTTTCTTCTAAAAAATTAAACAGATGTGTTTAACGGCTCGTGTTTAGTTTTAGAAAATTTATATCTTAGTATAAGCGTGTGGTTTATATAATTTATAAGCTCGAAGTTATTAAAATAATAAGTCGAATAAGTCTCATAAATTTCAGTAACACCAAATGAATAAAAGCATATAATATTTTATAATATGTCACATTTAATTTAAATATTATAGGTCAGCCACCCACCTACTTGATAACTCAAACATGTGGTATGCCGGTTTAGCTTTTGCAATGTGGGGTCTAGACCACACTAAGCCACCCCATAAGAGGGGTCGGTTTTGAGGAAAAATATCCAACAGTTCCACACTCTTAGTGGGCCCCACATAGATGAATTGGCCTAGTAAAAAAAAAAGGTTCATGTTCCTTTTTTTAGGGTTTCGGCTTTCATCTTTTTATTATTTTATAATAATAATAATCCTTTGCCTTTTTAACTTGCCACACGTGTGGACATTGGTAAAGCCTAAAGGTAGCCACTAACACTTCACTTTTCCATTCCTCACCACAATCTAGTTTTAATGATATTCATCTTATTTTTCCAACTTTATGGACAAATTCATTACGGAAATAAAATAGTAATATTTATATTTATATGTTACCTAAGTTAATTATTTTTCAGCATCTAGACTTAATCTTTCACGTTTTTACGCAAGCCATTCACAAATCTTCCTATAACTCGATACAATAAAAACAAACCACATGAGTTCAAATTTCTCGATCGAATTTTACACGTTTAGATTTGTAAAATCGAGAACCCAAATGTTGGAGAGAAAGAATGAAGTTGTGTAAAATTCTCTTTAATAAACGCGTTTTAAAATTGTAAGATTGACGGCGATACGTAATGAGCTAAAATAAACAATATTTACTAGCGGTGAGATTGAACTGTTACACTTAAAAACAGAAGTCCATGGAATGTTATTGATATTAAAAAGTGAAACATGCTAACTCTTAAGCAACAAAATGTTGGAGAAAATAAAAGGATGAAGGTAGGTCAAGAATAAAGGTTAAAAAGTTAGGCGTCAATCAAAAGAGTATGAAAAAAGGGCCTTTTTAGAGAGAGATAGAGAGAAAATGAGGGCAAGGAAGAAGTTGAGATATCATCATCATAAAAGCAATTCAATAATGGGTATGAGAGAGCCATTCGTGCAAGCTTAATCTAGAGAGAGAAAGTTTGAGGAAAAAAAGGAAAATAAATAAAACAAATAATAATAATAAAAAGAAATAAAAAGTCACTTTCTTGACACCGAAACCCCATAATATGAAAGCAAGTGGATCTGCACACGTGCACTACATGGGGGGTAGGAAAAGGGGGTTATGCTTCCAAGTAAAAGTAACAATAAAAAATAATATTAATTCATTCATGAACATAATTCTAATTTTTTAATTAAAAAAATTATTCACTTTAAATTATAAACTACCCTCCTAAGTGCTTATATTTACGTTGCTTGTACCCATCCATTGATGGACCATCACGTGCACTACTCGTGTCATCATCGTCAAATTCTATTTTAATATTTTAAATAGGTTAAAATTAATGTAAAATATATACGGAAACTAAAATTTTAAGTGTGAAATAAAATATTAAAGGGTTAAAAACATGTTTCATTTTTATTTTAAGAATGATTGGAAATCACATTTAAACAATTTTAATGAATAATAATTTGACTTTATAACAAGCAATTTAGGAAAGAGTATGTGATGGCCCACAGAATGAGAGTCACATGGGTCACGTGACACCACAAGGAACTCACGAGTATCTCACACACCTCCTTTTGCTGTTGGGGACCGGAATTTAAAGCCCACCCTTCTGCACTTATTTCCCCATGGCACATCCTGTAATTTGTCGTAACTTCGAGGGCACTTCTATCGGAGGCTCTTATGGTAATTTCCGCTCATAATTTTTTTTTTTGAAAAAAAACAGTAGCTATTCCAAAATTAAAAAAACAGATAAAAAAAAGGAATAAATATTTTAAATGTGGGTCAACAAATAATGATGTGAGAGTGTGGTATAAATTATATGAAATTGAAACAAATCTTTTTCCGACAACACCATCCGAAATTATGCGTATATTGAAATATCCCAAAAAAAGAAAATAAAACTTTAACATGTGCGAAATTACGAAGAAGCCCTCATTCTCAAATAATTAAAAATTACAAACATAATCCAAGGGTTGGAAATAATTTTAAACTAAGGTAAATCACTTGGTCTTAAAATTATTTACTCCTAATTCGTTTATGAATAAATTGTGTCAGAATTTATCATTGTTGTTTTTTAAAAAGTAATTTTCAAGAGGATTTACCCACAATTACAACTGTCATCTTAAAAGACAGTTAATCTAGGTAACTCAAAGGTTAAAAAAAACTATATTTTTGTCCATATTTCTGAAGTGGAAGTACGATGATTTTGAAATTTCTTTTTATTAACCGCAGTAAAAGTAAGAAAATCCCTCAATTTAAGGAGGATGTGAGTCTTATGAGAGAGAGAGAGAAATTGAAATAGTTAACCTTTATGTAGTGTGAGAGGAATATATATTTTTTGTGATTAATGAAAATAATAGCAATTATGGAGTTATCATGGCGTTGGCATTAATAAATTATGATTATGAATAATTAAAGTGGGTCCCATGAGATGTGCTAAAAATTAAAAAATTGTGGAAACCAGAGGATAAATACCGGGCGAGCCACCCAACTCAGACTTTTTATTATATGTTTATTTATTTTGGTTATTATTGTTATATATATTTTTTGGTAATATATAAAATGAGAAAATTCAATCTCTCTCTTTCTTGGTCTGAGTTTTTCATTTCTTAGATCAAATCCAGAAGTGTTCTCTCTTCATTTTTTTGGCTGTCAAATCTCACTGGAGAGTAATTGATTTCGCCGGCGAGTTAGCGGTGTCGATTGATCGGAAATCACGGCGAACTTGTTGAAAAGTCCGGCGGCTGAGCTCTCTGGATTGGAAGAAACTGGGTATGGGAAGCATGAACAACAGCGTGGATACGGTTAATGCTGCTGCTACTGCGATCGTCTCCGCTGAGGCTCGAGTTCAGCCTCCGACACCTCCGGTAGGTAGTTTGTTTTTTTTCTTCTTTATTATATTGTCTGGTTTTGTTTTGGAACTGAGAAAGTGCAGTAATTTGATTGAGAATGAAGTCTTTGATCTCGGTGTTGGTTTACTGTTTTGAGTCTAGATGGGGAAAATCTCATCGAGGTCGGTGATCTGAACGAATTTCTTTGATTTGATAAAACTGTGTTGGTTACGCCTTTTTGGTTCTATATTCTAAGATTTTGATTTGGTACTCTCTGCTTCGCTTGCTGGTTGTTGATTGTGTTGCTTTTTTGTGAAGATGTTGAATGTTAGATTCACAAAAGCTTGTTGCTTAATTGCTCTAACTGCTAGGTTGAGAATAAAGTAACTTGAAAGTTTTCTTTTAATTTGTTTTTAGAACAGAGAGTCAGGAGAACATAAGGTTGTTCGGAAATTAATTTCAAGCGCGATTTGCCCGATTCTTTGCTATAACTTCATTCGGGATTTGGATTCATTCGGTGTAAGATTGTCAATATAAATGATCTTCTATCAATTTAGTCAGCGATCTTTTGTACTTTGCCCCAGATTTGTTGAATTAGTTGTTTCTGTTAATGGATCTTGTAGCTTTGTACAGTATATTAATTAATTCGTCTCTTCTGAGCTTCAGTTTTTCTCTTAAGGCTGAGCTTAGCCTGGGCTGAGAATTCTTTTAAGGGGGACAGGCAAAAATTTTCCTCTGTTTAAAGGAAGATTCCATGCTCCTGAAGGTTCAGTTCTTGACCATCATACGCGTCTTATTATGGACCAATTTACTGCCAAAATCTTTAGCTTTAAGATTAAGAAGTCTTTTCAAGATCTAGATCATCTACCTGAATGGATGGCTCAAAACTGAGATATCGTAGAGTTAACTTTCATTTCTCCACGTTCTTCAAAAATTTCATGCCTGTTTATCGTTTTATGGAGAAATTTTCTGAAACCACTTGGTGTTGTTCGGTATGTACACAACTTGAATTATTTATTAATCAATTTGGCCTAGAAACATAAACAGTTTGGATTTTGAGAAGCTTGATTTTGGATTGATGAAGAAAGGTTTTCCCCACCCTCTTCCTTTCAGCCTATTCTCTATTGCCTGACATGAGAGGCGAGGAAGTAATGAAATATTTTGTTAACACAGCATAATCGATGGCTATGAGCTTTTATAGAGCTCTATACCTGCTGAAGTTCTTACATTTCCGAACAAGTGTTTTAATGCTGCTCTGATGGCTTGAAAACTGTATTTTAGCTAGAGTGGAATCGTTGTTCAGTTTCTTGTTGGTTTTTTCATTTATATTCTCCTGTTATCTGACTTCAGAAACGAAGATGGGGGAGCTGCTGGAGTCTGTACTGGTGTTTTGGAAATGGTTCGCAGAAAAACAATAAGCGTATAGGTCATGCTGTGCTTGTTCCAGAACCTGCAGTATCTGGAGCTGTTGCCCCTGCTGTTGAGCATCGTACACCTTCAACCACCGTGGTATTGCCTTTCATAGCCCCTCCGTCTTCTCCTGCGTCTTTCCTCCAGTCCGAACCTCCATCAAATGCTCAATCTCCTGCTGGATTACTATCTTTAACTGCTCTTTCAGTCAATAACTACTCCCCAAATGGACCTGCGTCCATTTTTGCAATAGGCCCTTACGCATATGATACCCAGTTGGTCTCACCTCCAGTCTTTTCTGCCTTCCCCACTGAACCATCGACTGCCCCTTTTACTCCTCCTCCTGAATCTGTGCAATTGACCACACCCTCATCTCCTGAAGTACCATTTGCTAAATTGCTGACATCTTCTCTGAGCCATACTAATAAAAGTTTTGGGACTAACCAGAAGTTTGCACTTTCACATTGTGATTTCCAACCTTATCAACCCTACCCTGGAAGCCCTGGTGCCCATCTTATATCACCTGGATCAGTAATTTCAAACTCTGGTACATCTTCTCCTTTTCCTGATAAACATCCCATTCTTGAGTTTCGCATGGCAGATGCTCCGAAGCTCTTGGGTCTCGAACATTTTACGACTCGCAAATGGATCTCAAGAATGGGTTCTGGATCTTTGACGCCAGATGGTACTGGTTTAGGTTCTAGGTTAGGTTCAGGAACTTTGACCCCTGATGGTATGGCTATGGGTTCGAGATTGGAATCTGGATCTGTGACACCAAATGGTGTGAGGCAAGATTCAAGATTGGGTTCTGGAACCGTTACTCCTGATGGTTTGGGGCATGCCTTGCAAGATGGTCTACTGTTGGACAGCCAAATATCTGAGGTGGCTTCCCTTGCCAACTCAGAAACGGGATGTCAAAATGATGTGGCAAATCATAGGGTGTCATTTGAGTTGACTGGTGAAGATGTTGCGCGTTGTCTTGCAAATAAGTCAAAGCAAACAAGCACAAACTCTCAAAACAAAAACAAAGAATCGTCGAAAGAAGCTGAAAGTTGTGAGTTCTTTGACATCAAGACTTCCACAGCACCGGAAAAAACTTCAGCAGAGGATGATCAATGCTACCAAAATCAACGAGCCGTAAATCTTGGTTCGTTCAAAGAGTTCAACTTTGACCAAACCAAAGGAGAAATACACAGCACAGCCTCCATTGGTGCAGAATGGTGGGCCAATGAAAAGGTGGCTGTGAAGGAAGCTAGTCCAGGCAACAACTGGACTTTCTTCCCAATGTTGCAACCTGGGGTCAGCTGATTTTGACATGGATGTCGTCAGTAGAAAGAGAAGAAGAAGAAGAAGAAACAACAACCCACCTTTTGAATGTACATTTGAATGTAATCATCCTTTGGAGATGCAACTTTTAGGACCCGTGATCTCAGATAACAGATGGAATGATTTGGAGGAAAAGAATGTTTTTCAAAGTTGCCTTGTGAAAACACTATTCAAATAGACAGCAGAAAGAAAGTAGTTATTAGGGATAACTAGTGTGGGTACTGAAGGAGCATTCTTTGTCATAGCTCAAAGGAGTAGATCATTCATAATCATAGGATCTTTGAAGTGCTTTATTCTTTCTTGTCTTGTATAATAATAAGAAATTTCATTCTTCCCCAACAATGAAAACTTCCTTTCTGGAAAACTCCTGTGATTTTAGTTTACTTAGCTTCACATTTATCTTAATTTTAGAGTTCTAAGTCAGTTTTCTGCTCTTCTGCGTACAAAAACAACTCTCCCTTTGTGTTAGAATGGACCTTCTTCTGGGCTCAAGGCAAGGAAAGCTTCTGGGAAAAAGAACTCTCCCTTTATGTTAGAATGGAGACGGCCCAAAGTTCATTTTGACAACTTCCAAGTCTATACAGGACAAGGCTGTTCTTTTGGGCTGTCCCCATCTAAAAAAGAAACTGTAAAAGACTTCCTTCTCAAGGCAGGGAATGAATAGTTGATCTAAAAAGGTATAAACAGTATTTTGATGCTGAATTATTGACTTTGGTTGATTTTGATCTCCATATTTTAACATGTCCATCTTTCATTCTTGTAGGTTTAAGAAGCGACTATTTTGATCTCTAGAACAAAATAACCACTTTTTAAATAAGGATCCAAGTGGACGTACGAAAGTATACGACGTTAGAAAACGTCGAGCTTAATGTGAAAGAGAGGAAAGTTCAGCTCAAAACAAGGGGACCCAGCTGTGTCAAGAGAAACTGACAATTCAGCTACCTTGAGAAAGCCACATTTATAACATTCTTCTTCCCAAAACACCACACGGTTTACAGAGAAGGATAAAGGTCAATTGTGAAGGCAAATTGCGATTTAAAGCAATTGCAAGCAAACCCTATCCCGCTTCCACTTGCCCCAACAAACACTTCAGCCTGTTCACTGGCAGAGTGGGGCTTTTCCATTTAATTTTTCTGTCATCTCATAACTGCGTAACTTGGAGAATAGGCTCCATGCGAATCTTTCTTTCATACCTCCAGAAGCTACCGCCTTTGTCACATTATATTTTCATAAAGATGGAAGTTGAATGTTACAATCATTAAAAAGGATGTTGAACGAACTTTAGAGTTTCGTGTCTATATTGTCTATCACAACTTTCGAGCTTTAACGCGTGTATAATTAGTTCTTAAACTTTCTTTTGTAGGTACATGTGAACTATAATGGTGTCGAACAAGTTGGAGGGTATCATTATTTTAATGATTTATATATTTAGCTAAGTAGTTAGTAGTAAACTATTTAAGGTATGGTAGCTATTCTTGGCGGTTGAATTTAGGCAGCTAGTGCTATGGAACTCATGTGCAGTCGGAAGTTTCCCGGATTGTCTCGTTCTTGCTTTTAGGAGCAGACTACCTTATTTAAGTAATTGGTATTTGAGTCAGGTTTGTAACCTCACTAGCTATGCTCGTCTCCTAGGTGCTAAGTGGTAACACGATAGAGTCTAACACCTGTCCTTTTGTAGAGTCTTTTAGTATTATAGGTCCGAGAGTTGGAGGCTTCCTCCAATGTAATATAATGTTTTGAAAAGAAAAAGGAAAGGCTACCAAGAGGCTGCAGACAATCTTTGATTTATTAATTTTTTTGAAGGAAAAATTTATTAATTAAGTGAATTGGCACGTGGCAATAAAAATACGAGGGGAAAATCAAGGGAAACAAGTACACTTGATTTTACTTTTTAATAAATTGTAATATTTGAGGTTTTATTAATGCATATTGACCTGTAAATCACTCAAATATTAAAACTCGAATTTTATTTTATTTTATTTTATAATTAATTTATATTCATAAAAATATTGTGATAATGTAGTAGCCTTATCCTTAGATACAATTCAATAGGTTGGTGCTGCCTAACCTATAGCAACAAAATGAAGGGAAATAAAATATTGTTATTTTCTATTAATTAAATAAACATTGATAAAAACTAATAATAGGACCATCAAAAAAAAACTTGTTGACTCAGAAAAATGGATTCGATTATGAATTTCTTTAGGTTAATGTTAATTTTAAAAAATAAAATTTTATTTATAATACAATTATATATACATATATTTATTTTAATTTCCATCCATAAATTCAATTAAAGTTTTCAATTTTTTAATAATTCAAGTCGAATCTATATCGAAAAAAATCTAAATAATTTTAAATTACATTGATAGAAAATTTGCTTCACGTGTAAGGAACCACTTTAGAAATCATTCTAAGTAAATTATTAACTTCGAAATATAACAAAAAGAAAGCGGGATGCTTTTCGATAGGACATTGGTTAAAATTATTTAAATTAATATAATCCACAAATTTATATGCAACTTTTAATATTATGCCTATTTTAAAGTTTTTGTTTTTCCAAATAAATTTATAATTTTACCGTTATTTTCAAACGTATCTCTCCAATTTCCTTCTTTCTTTAATATTTTTTTTCAATAATATATATAAATCTTTATTTTCATTCTTAATTTATATAATTTAAAAAGATAAGTGTTTTTACTTTGGTTTCGTGGTTGTTATTAAGTGCAATTACTTGTCATTGTGAATGGAATAGGCTATCATGAATTAGGCTAATTAAAGTGCCCCAACTTTATATCATATGAGTTAACCCTCGTCGATTCATTTGATTAATACATATATTTTCAATTAGATTATTAACACGTAACTTAGTATTCACATTATAAATAATCGTTCGTGATAATAATAAAAATAAAAAAACTTTTCAAAAAGTTAATGACTTTAAAATTTTAAAAATCAGGTACCATCAAATTAAAAGACACAATAATTATAAATTTTAAATTCATACAATAATTTGTTAAAATGACGCTCGAACTAATATAGATTTTTTTCCATGCGTGACTAATGAAATTGACGATTTTAAAGGAAATCTAAATTGATTCGTATGTAAACGTTTATAAATCTAGTTGATAAAATTATTTGTTAAATATATTATTAGGGTGCTTATTAGAGTGAAATTAGAAAGAGGTTTCACACCTTTCGTTTTTAATTTTATTTATGGGTAAGTCTATTATTGACAAGACATTGGTGGGTACCAATCTACTTTCATGTTTCACACATTCTTATAACATTAATCCAATCAAATGTATTTACTATATCATATCATCATATGATATTGTACGTTTGTGGTTCAATTTCAACGTTTGATTAAATTTTATTCGTGATGTGTCTAGTTATAATTCGACGCATTTAATTGGTCGAAAAAATTAATAATGATCGGTTACAATTTTAGAAAATTTACAAATTCTTTGTTATAATCTGTCTGTCTCGTGTAGTTTTAGGAAATTTACGTAAATGTCATAATTTCATAATTTTTTAATTATAAAATTAATAGTGAAATTGTACGAAACTATATAATTTGTTACATTTTTTATAATGATTGGTCGTAGTCTTTAACCATTTTTATATGTTATGTTATAATTGTCACATTTTTTTTGGGTTGGAAACAAATAATGATGAATTGCAATTATAGGAAACAAAGGTTATTATCTAACTTATAATTTCTTATTTTAGAAAACTATTTGACCTTTTATTTTATTTTCATGGGATAAAATAAAAAACAATTTGGAAACATAAAATAAACAAAAATGGTATGCAATGAAAAAAAACCTAAAAATAATTAAAAATAAAATTAATTTTGTTACGACTACAAAGATCATTAAGATCGACTTTCATCGAGAGATGTCTATGAGGTAGGTGGGCAAGGAGACAGATAAACTATCCCGTCTTTGTCTTCATCATCTATTTCAATCTTCATCCTCAAAAAAATTTTAGTTTATTTTTGTGGAGTTAGGACGAGATTGAAGTTCCCCTTAAAATATTTTTCATTAATTTTGTTTAAAGTTATTATAAAAAAAAAAACGGACAATTTTTATTTTTAATATAATTATTATTAAAAATGGTAAAACGTCCTAATAAATCTAATAATATTTCGTAACAAACCTATAATATAATATTATATTAACATAATTTCTAAAAATTTAAATTTTAATGTTAGAAATTCTTACCATTAAGAAAAAAAACTTCACTATCGTCTTTTAACTTAAATATTACAATATATATAATATAATTTTAAACATATTTAATTTAAATAATATATGTAAAGCGAGGTGGAGGAGTATAATCTTTATTTCCAGCTTAATTCAGCTAACTTTTTTTTTCATTATTAATATTATAATTTAACAGTATAAAATGAAAATTTAAATCAATAAATACATAATATTTTTATTAATTGAATTAAATTCCAATTTCCAAAAAAAAAAATTAATTAAAATCTTAGTATATAAAAATGGAGTGAATTTAATAAAAATCTGTTGAATAAGAATAAGAGAAACAAAAAAAAATCTAGTTTGAGAATTGGCAACCGTACATATAATATAGATTTTATGTGGAGTACATAAATAATTGAGTTTGTATTAAATTTCGAAATGATTGCTCAAAAGTTTTTATTAAATGCCATAAAAGAATTCAATGATTAGGGTTAAAAAAAAAAAAATTGTAATTGTAATTTTTATTTTTATTTTTTGAGTTCAATTTTTTTTTTCGTGTCTTTTCATAGAAAAAAAGGAAAATAAATAAGATAAGAACAATTAATTACAAATCCAGCACACGGTCCCCTGGCCCACGATCCACCTTTCTCCTCCGCCGGTCGCGGATCGCCGGTAGCCGCCGCCATTTGTCTTTTTAGCCTTCACTTGCCGTTTGCAGGTGCGCTTGTTGACGTGATCCAGGGTAGAACCTTTACAGGAGAGATCCTCATTCGGAGGAAGAAAGATCGACGGTTACACCGGCGACGTGGTGGAGCCCGCCGCTGACTGTGATAGAATGGATACGAAGAGATTGAAAGGACGAATGGTAAACTGTTTAGGGATGATTCTTAGCCTTTATTATTAACCTTTGTCCCAATTTGTGGAATAGTATGAAAAAACTTCACGATCTTCACAATAAATAGGGTGCAAAGAAATGAACGGCTAATATGACGAACACATCGATGAATAGTAATGTTCAATTATTTGTCAGACAAAATAAAAAAAATAGGAGTTAATTTGGTAATGGATTTGGGAATCACATTCCCTGTAACTTGAACTGGTCGACGAAATAGGCATGAAATCGGTGACCGATTATAAATTCTGTCTTTATATAACCATTATTTCATTTAAAAGCTGAGAGC